AAATGAAATGCTTAAAATTTTCAGGAAATTTGAATAAAAAATATATTATCCCAATATATTTTTCATATACCAGTGAGTTCAAAAATTCTCAAATTCCGTCAAATTTATGAATAATCACGACGATTATTTAATTGTGAGAATTTGTTTTGCTATTTAAAATTTATCAAATTATGTCATATTACAGTTACAGTTTTTTTCGATTAGTGCTGTGATGATTCTTTGCAGTTTTATTTTTTCTTATGAATACCTAAACTTGGTGCGTGATATAGAATAGACATTTTAAGAATAATAGGGTATACATAGAGATAGAAGAAGAACCCAAGATGAAGTTTGCCATTAATTTAAAAAATATGTCCGAATCGTCTACCAATTTATAAATCAACAGTGAGGTTGAAGAAAAATATCTTCATATTGGTTATGTGAGAGATACCCCAAGAAGGAGAAGGCCATCCATTCAAATTCAAATGACATTTATTATGAGTTCTAAATTTAGAACAAAATATACAGTATCTAAGCACTTATACATTACAACTACACAAAGGCATTGCCTATTAGGCACTAAAATATTATCTTTCTAATACATACAATAATTTATGAACTAATTGAAGATTTGTTAAATCGTTTATTGCTTGAGTTTTGTTATTCGATTTAATACATTGTTCCTCTCAGTTCCATGGTTCAAGACTAGATTTATTTTATACTGTCTCATAATCAACGACTCTAGATTCTCCATATGAGGAACCGGTATATCGATATAAAAATTATTTTTGTAAATTATTTTCAAACACCTCTCTTCAACTTTCTCTGAACATGCTAAATAATTGATGATTTTTAACTTCACCCCAGTATTTTTCCTCAAGTCTTACAACAGTGTAATCACAGTGGGTCGCTATGTCTCCATTATTGTTTTGAGGTTATGAACGTATATGTTAAATAATATTGGCCCCTGTTCCCTGTGTAACCCTGTATGCCATTTTTATTTTTTACTTATCGTGTTCTCCATTTCTACTACGAGTTTTTGAACTATGGTGTTTTGTTAATGTTAATAAATTCGACTATTTGTTGGAGGAAAGGGCGTTTGAGTTTTCTTACGTTTTTTGTAAGGAACTCAGTCTCCATATTCCGGAAGACAAAGAACAAAGGTGAAGGGATGCGCAGGACAATGGGAATTGTAGAAAAAAACGAGAACGTCTAATAAGAGCTGTTCTACAAAAACGACTGACTACCGCTGACTGTTGTTGTCATATCAATTTGGGAGAAGTTCTGGGTTCAGAATAGGTTTATTTAGACATCAAAGTACCCATTGATAATAAATGAAAATTATCTACGAAAACAAAATACTTCTATGAGTTTGTATTTTTCCTGGTCATGACCAGATTACACAATACGTATGGTTTGGCTTTACCCGATAATGGAAAAACCAGAATTCTGAATAATTTCATCGTTGGAATCTCCTGTAAACTTGTTTTTCTGCTTTAGAGGGGTTTCGCTTCCATTCAACTTATGACAGCAAAGACACTCGAAAACGGTACGCAATTATCGCGAGTACCCAATGATTGAAAATTCGGGTTCCTCCATTGTCTTATAGAGTAAAGCCATATGTATTGTGTAATGTGGTCATGACCAGAAACAATACAAACTTATAGTATGAGTTATTAACAGTTAGAACTACGATTGAAACACTTGTGTTTTCGTAGATAATTTTAGTATGTATTCTTCCACACTGAAGGCAAGTAGATTCTTTGAAATTTTCAAAAGTTCGGGTTTTTCAATGCCTATCATGATTCTTGTCAAAAATATCAAATGTCATGTGTTGGTAATTTGATGAAGCAAGAAGAGGGCAGTAAATCAAAGTTTTCTGTGGCATATATACCTAGGCCAACTGCGTGACGCTCTCAGAGATGATTAACAAGAGAAGCCAGCATTTGAACGAGATAATTTCCAAGCTTGGATTTTACTCAAGGTTTGAGCGAAACACGAAAAGACCTTCGGGGCCGATTGGCATACCATATTCTATCTTCAAGAGGCTTTGATGTTTCCTTTCAGTGAAAGGCTTTCACAACTAAATAAGTTTTTTGTTTTTCACCTGACTTAATGATTGCTTCGTGCAAGCATAGACCTAACTACTACGTAGTAGTTAGGTCTATGGTGCAAGTATTGAATTTTTCCAAAAAATAACTTGGGTTGTATCTATGCTTAGAACATATAGAAAAATTCTTCCAAATCTGACGATGTTTTATGCAAGAACCTTCTTGAACAAACTTGCTAATAAGTATGGTTTAACGCCGTTTTACAGCTAGCCAGAAAACTTGAATGCAATTTTTTGCATGCAACAAAATTGCATTCAAGATTTCTTGCACGTCGTTTTACACCTCGCAATTTGACTTGTTTCCTCCTCTAACCTTAACCATACTTTTGTGTTTTCAATTTTGTTTTGTTGATGTTTATATTTTCCAAAAAATAAAAACGTGAAAATAAGTCGATATAAAAAGAAGAATGCAATAGCAGCCACTTTAAGCATCATAATTGCTAAAAATTCCCCAGCTTGCGCGAAAACCTTCAAGAAAAATGGCACCAAACCGATTGCATGCAATGCCATTCAAGTTTCAAGAATCTTGCAGAAAACAATCAGCTGACTCACTTCTGCGCATGCCTTCGTTCAAGTTTCTTGCATATTGCAGATAGAATTGCATGCTGTAAAACGGCATGAAATATGCGGTATCATGCAATATTCCTAAAAAATTGAATACCAAACTGCAACTCATAAAGTTGAAATCGTTGTAGATAATAATTTCAAACAAATAACTTTGATCTCGTGCGTGGAGTTTTAAACCAGAAAAAGTTTGACAAAGGTGGAAACTCGATAAGATTGTTCTTTTGAATTAGTGCAGTATAGGATTTATAGCGGATAGACAATTTTCTAACAAGGGATTTCAGAATACTTTTGCTGAATAGAGGCTCAAATGATCGAATGGAAAATAATGTCATATGACGTCTACAAATTGAATCAGCAAAGGGAACAAGTAAAGATATATTCTGCTTTCCGCATCCAAATACTACAAAAGCAATAAACATATCAAGCAATAAAGCATAAGGAAGAAATATGTGCATGGAAGTTGGTTAAGGAGGCCATAAACGATGGACGAGGCATAATCATTTAAAAATACCCAGTATTAATGACACTGACAATGTTAAGATCACAGATATGGCATTAGGATAAATCAAAAGTTTTCCTGACCCACAAGTTTCATTATCTTTTTTTCTTCTTCTTATCCTGGGATTCCTGGAAATCGATCACGTAGTGAAACACTTTTTGGAAATTGTTACGTTTCGACTTTTTATCAACCATCACCAGACATATATTCTGTTATGTAAAATTATAGTTGATTGCTCAACTATAATTGTACTTATTTTACGTGAAATAGAATTATTAGCATTGGTTGCTTATTTTACATTTTTTTTCTTTATGTTAAAAATTATCTTCACCACCTCAATGTCTGAGTTTCTGCGATTTTAGTTGACAAAAGTGTCCAAACCAAAACTACATATTTATACCTACTATCGGACAGCCAAGCGATCCTAAATGTTTTGAAGACCTGCAAATGCGTATCACACCTAGTCTGGGAATGCAAGCAAACCCTGATATAATATAGATAACATTATATTCGGAATTTATCTAGGAGAATTTGTTTTCCCGAATATAATAGAATTCCCAAAATAGACACGCTCTTGGAATCTGGCCAGGCTCTGATGCAATTTCGTAGCACTGCCTGCCTCTCAAATCAGATCGTCCCGATCTGACCATTTATCCTCGTGATAAACATTCAACCTGTCAAGATGCGCTCACAACTTCATCTTACCTTTGGGGCCGCATAGTCGGGCCCTAATATTCTATGGTGTTAGCTTGAGAGATCAACCTTTCTTCCTCTGAGGGTTAAATGGGGTAAATGGCAAACTCTGCCGTTTAAATGGAAATCTCGGTTACTTGCGAAATCTGTCCTTTCCCTTACTATGTCATAGATGTCAGACAGCCTTTTCCGCAGTTCGTCAGCATAGTCTTCGACTGCCATGTCGGCGACAGCCAAACATCAAGGTCACAGGGTGAACGAAGCCACCTTCCAAGCAAGGCCTTGGCTGGTGTAACTCTTGTCGTTGTTGTACAGGGTGCGTGAATTTGGACAAAAATAGAGAAAATAAAAATAATTATATTTAAAACTCGGTTCAGTACTACCGCAATTAGAAATTAAAATCTCGACCGGAGCGATGTACCAATAACACTGCTTACTACTCCAATAAAATTCTCGTAACACATAACACTCACGCATAGCATATCAGTGCCAGACGAATTTGTTATGCCTGCAACTAGCCAGAATACTATTTTACTAATTTTTGGATAATAGGTACTCAATAGTCCTATCCTTTCATAAGTGGGGAAAAAAAATTAGCGCTTTTTTCTGAATGCACCCACCATCAAATCGATTTGTTAAAATGTCAGAAAATTTTAACTGCCTCCCGGGCTAGTAACTAAAGAAACAAAAATAGATTAGGCACATTAATCACTTTTCGGTTATTTTCAAGCAAAAAGTTTCCCTTTCTTGCCAATGTTTTAGATAATCTCAAATATAAATTATAATACAGGGGTTGAGATATCAAAATAGAGTTGCAAACAATAGGGTTGTATAATCCTAACGTGTATTGATTAATAACCAGATGAAGGTTTAGCATAATGCTTTACCCCAGAAACCCTTATTATTGTTCGGAATCCCATTTACAATAAAGAAAATTGAGTAATTTTTCAGTAATTGAAACTTCTTATACATTTGACTATACCGGCTCGCAGGCTATTATGTACTTAGGTTGGTAGCTTTGATAGCTTATACAATAAATTAGTTAATTGTGTCAGTGTTTCATACCTAGGATATAAATTTTGTGTGAAAATCTAGTTTTTGTATTATTTGTCAGAATTATCTATTCCAATTTAATTTTTTATTTTTTTTCAGACGCTGCAAAAGACTAACATGTGATGCAAGAGACAACCAATGTCTACTAATGCCTGAACAATACTCTTATCAATACTTTGCTTTGGTTTCAAACCTGCCATTATCGGATGATGGAATTCCGTTGTTTAAAATTAAAGGTCCCGATTGGTCGGCCGCCGTAGCTGATTTCTCATTAAAGCTATTAGAAGTTAATTGTCCTCCTGGTGTGAAAAAAGTGGATGCAAGTTTTGTAAAAAAAATAGACCATGAGAATAACTTGATGGAACTCAGCTTGGTAAAAAGCATAGAGGGGCCCCAAGAAGTGAAACTGGAAGTTGAAATGAAACTATATCAAAGAAATACACTTATTGGGCGAGTTGTAGTGTATATCATTATAATAGTATCAGAATTTACATTTTAATGTTATACCTTATTTAAAAAACACCTAATGTCTGCGACACCTCATCAGTTTCTACACTTTATATACATATTACAGTAAAAAAGTTTGACGTATTAAGTATATTCGATAGACTTCATGCCAACGTACGGAAATTTCATTTTTAAAATTGCCAGTTTATTTATTAAAAGACATCCCCCTAGTGTTAGACTCTTCTGAACAAAATCCATAAGAATATTTTTTAGTTCTACTTGAAAATATGATATAAACACCTGCATAAGAAGTTTTATTTTATAATAACAGTATTTACTCAATGTAATTGGAAGGTGGTTGCTGAGTTAAGGTTAGAAAGCAAAAAAACAAATATGGAATTGGCCAACTACTGTACACAGAAATAATGTTTTTTTCTTATAGGTAGGTATGCGGCAATAATCAATAAAACAAAAGCCAAATGACGATATTTTAAATTGAGGTTGAAATTCACATCCATGTTAAAAAATATTTGTCTTTGTTAGAAAAAAAACAAAAAAGTTTATGTTAATTAACAATTAGGTACCTACCTACCTACTCACATACATGATTTCTATAATTTAGTGATAAATTGTCCAAAATTCCGCAAGATCTACTTCTTACCAGCAAACTATTTTTCAACTTCCAAAAAACGCTCATTATTGTCATCAGTAATAGATTTTTTTTCTAAAATTTTATTTGATAATGTAGAATAGGACAATTTTTTTTTTGATGAGATGTTCGTGACCGTTATTTTTCCCAAGCCAGCCTCAATTTTTTTTTTTTTTGGTATTGTATTATATTTTTTCAACTGAGGATGGATTACTGATCTCAAAACTAAAATGGATAAACAATCGTACCTACGGATTGATTCGCTTAAACTTGTGCGAAAATTTCGGGTCAATTCCACGACAGTTGTTCAACGGAACAGCCTAACGCCTGCGCAGAGTCTTATCTTTTGAACAGCTCTTCTAAATTTTGAAATGTCCTTCAATGCCAATATTTTGCGCACAGTTGTCCCAGTTGCTCACATTTCAACCTGGTTAATAAGCAGCATTAAAAGCGTTTATTGTTTATCCATTTTAGTTTTGAGATCAGTGGGATGGACGGGCTCCCTAGGCAAGTGCCTGTAAAAATGTGGCAAGATTTTGTTGATATAATATATTATCTCAAACAAATAGAACCACTTTTATTTGTAAACGAAAAAAAAAAACGCAGTACCTACTCCTCATCATAAAGGCGATCACTCGATGCCGATTATCTTCTATTCTATTATCATGGTCGTCGATTGTGCGTTTTCTGATGGCTATATGAACCAAATCTCTGGCAGGATTGTCTCTCCCTCTATTCTCTCGCTCCTTCCTGCGGTCCCTCTTTTCGGTCTCGTGTCTGCGTCGCTGTTCTTCAAAAGTTTGTCGTCCGTCGTGGACTACTCGACGCCATGAGGGCCTATCATTTGCCTTCATCTCCCAGTTGCTGGTATCCAGTTTTAATTTGGCTTCATCATATTTGGTTCTTGTTATTAGGGTATTTGTTGTCGGGTCTATTGCTGGCGGAGGGTCTGGTAAGGTAAGGACGTGAAAAATGTGAAAAATGTAAAATACCTCCTCACCCACACAATGTAGCAGCATTGCAGACTTTCGGTCATCATTTGTTATGCCAGAAACAACCAAAAAATTGTCAAAACGTTATATCCACTTTTGCCATCTGATCCCTACAATAGCTACATGTATATTAAACGTATCAATGGTACCTAAGGTGTTGTTTTCCATCGCTATAATTTGTGGGCTCGTCGCTAGGCTCTATTCTCGTCGCCAATGTAATGTTTGTTTATGGATTGTTTAATGTTTGTTTTGTTATTAAATTGTTGTTAGCAATAAAAGACTGTTGTTATCTGTTTTTATTCTTGTTAACTAAGATATTTCAACTGGTTCGAAAGTTCCAGTTACAGGAAAAACATTAGCAATTCTTATCATAATGTCTTCATTTGTTCTTACTAGAGTCTTTCCAACGAGAAATTTTTCTGGTTTATCTCCAATAAAATTATGTGTTAGTCCAACGCAGCACCCAGGGTTTGTTTCCAATTTTCCGCAAATGATCTTCTCAGTACTTCCAGGAATTTTCACCGGTTCTGTGGCCAGGATCTTACGGGCTTGAGATTCTTGCTGTGTAGTTTGGACAAATTCCTCATTACCAAATTCAAGGAAGTTCATATGAGGATCGAAAGAGAAACCATGTTGGCCGATCAAATCCATTACTAAAATAAAATCATCTTCTATATAGGCAACAGGTTTCTAGTGAGCGGTTGGATTGCCCGAGAGTTGACTTATGTTTTTCTTATTATAAAAACTTCAGCACCCGTATCAAAATTGATGGTTTTGAATTCTCCATTAATGTGTCTTTCGAATTTCAATTCTCTATAATGACTGCCCAATGATTTTACGTAAAAAAACCCTGAAGGCATCGTCATTACTAACCAGCATTCGCCCCTCCATACTGGTTAGTTCTCATTTCCCTGTCTGTCATTAGGGCTGCCGTCTCTAGATCTCGAAAAGCATTGGTACCGATCCCTAGATAAAGAGGACATCCTTACTCTACAATCTCGTTGAATATGTTCAAGCTTATGGCACCGGTAACATTCTACCGGCAGGCCTATTCTCTATGAACAGCAATTACATAGCAACCAGCAACCGGTCGCTAGTTGCTTTTCTTAAATGGAAAACTCTCGTCAAATAGCGATTTGACAGCGACAATTGCGCAATTATCTCGGTTGCAAGTTACAGAATAAGGCTGCCGGTTTCTCGATGTTGGTGCTTGTCTATAGTCGTTTCCCCTTTTTCCACCTTCTAGTAATAGTTTCTCCATTTTCTCCATGAAATTACTCATAACATTCTCAAGGCTATCATCCTCGGTTGACAATTGTTTATCCTTTGGGTCTTCAATGGACACTGCTCGTATTCTGGTTCGTGAGGCATCAAAGATTGCTTCCAGTTCCAATGCTCGGACAAGGGCTTCGCTAATTTGTCTGAACTTAGATATTCTCAGGTTTTCCTAAACCTTGGAATCTCTAAGACCATGAATGAACGCAGATACTGCCATCCATTCCTGCATGTCTTCCCCAGCTGCAGGTAACGCCAAACTCACTAGCCTTTTAACTTCCGATTCGAATTCTTGTAAACTCTCGCCGGGTTTTTGAATTCTTGATTTAACTTGAGCTCTAAATACTTCTTGCCTGTAATGGTCTCTAATGCGCAATTCTAACGTCTGACTTATATGCTGGTAATTCTGCTGGTAGATCGAAGGAATGGACTGAAGAAAATCTCAGGCAGGTCCTCGTAGCGCCACTATTAGTGCTGTAGGTTTTTCTTGATCGTTTCATCCGTTGGTGTTTGCAGCAGCTTCAAATTGTCGGATATACATGGTCCAAGACGTAGAACCGTCAAATGTTCGTGGCTTTATCTTCATACTAGAGAATACTCCAAGACTAACTGGATTGATGGACTGTATTTCTAATTTATTCACCTTATCTTCAAGTGCTTGTACTTGGGCCTCAACTTTATATCTTAATTGCTGAACATCGTCTTTGACTTCTTGAACATTGTCTTTAACTTCATGAACATCCTTTCTTACTCCGGCTTTCACTTCCCTAATATTTTGTTCCAGGTTAGTGACAGATCCTTGTATGGTTTAAAATATTTTCTGCAGTTGTCCAAGGTCGTCTTGCCGTTCTTTTTGTCGCCTAGCCTCTTCTTGTTGTTTTTCTCTTTGTCGCCTGGCCTCATCGTCTTGTTTTTCTTGTTGACATTTAGCTTCTTCTTCTTGTTTTTTTTTTTTTTGTCGTTTAGCTTCTTCTTGTTTTTCTTTTTGTCGCCTGGCTTCTTCTTCTTGTCTTTCTTTTTGTCGCCTGGCCTCTTCGCCTTGTTTTTCTTGTTGTCGTTTGGTCTCTTGAAGCTCCAACATTTTGCGCAGAAGTTCTTAAATTTTTTGTTTTATCATTTTTGCTTGTTGTCTCGTGATAGGCATATACAGAATGTTTGGATTTTTCCTCAAACTTTCTTCAAATATCTTCCCTGCTCTTTGCTTGAAGTTCCAAACACCTCGGTGAAGTCACAAATTTGATATCTCCCTTGATTTACAAATCGAATTTTCTAAAACTTACTTGAAAATTCACTATCACAGTCAAAATCGGGTATACAGTCACTTCCGGGGTAATTCACAAAATCGATTAAGTCTCCTTTGCTGATTGTCACTGCTTACACTGACTAACTGTCCCAGTATTCACACTAGTGTCCGCAGTAGTCCGCACTATTCTGCAATTGGATTTCACTTTGCAGTCCTCGAATTATATCTCACTTCTGACACCAATGTCACGGCTTTGGCTTGCGTGACAGAAATCTTGGGTCCGTTTATTTAAAAATCAAACTCCAATTAACACAACAACAATTTATTCCACGTTTCTATACACTCTGACACTAATTACATCACTAATTAACTCGAAACAACTAAACTCTCGATATTTATAGACGACATTGTATTCGGGATTTCTCTATAAAAACCTATTTAACACTCGACTACAATGGAATTCCTAAAAACCCATCCTAAACGTGAACATATGTTGCTTACAAAGACATTTTCCGAATAGACGTGCTAGAGCAAGTAAACAAATGTATTCTTAGAATCTGGCGGGGCTCTCGATGCAATTTTGTAAAAATATTTATTTAAATAATCACAGGCATATTTTGATATTTACACCTTCGGGCGACTTACAAACCGTCGGACTAGAGGCCCTAGTATTTATAAGCCTGTGGCCCTCGAGTCATATATATCTACTTAATACCCTTCATACATAAATAACTGGGTATTCCTACCCAACCAGAAGCCCGTAGCTAATGAATATTCAATCAACACGAGCCCTAGATAAACGAAAGAATTATTTCTGTAAGTTTTAATAGGGCAGGAAGCAATCCTTTTTTAGGTGACGTGAAGTTGCAACAGTGAAAAATGCTTCTGTGTTTCCACTGAACAAGATAAATGATTCTTTAACTGAAAAGAATTGCTTTAATGTGGTAAATAGAATTTTCCGGAAAACATGTTTCTCTCAAAGCCAAATTAAACGCAATCAAATTTCAACTTATCCTTAGGTATACCTCCCAATCATGATATTATCAGCGATACACAACGAACGTTAGAGCTTGGGTTAGCTATAATCATTCTTTATTAATGGTAGTAACTTATACATTTTACATATTTCAAATAAAAGTAATCCAACATACTTATATAAAAAAATACTTTTGTGAAAATAACCTGTCGTAAGTTAACGACGAATTTTTGTCACCCAACTTGGACCCTGCCTTGAATTATCATCAGTTTGGTTTTCGGCGACGAAGGTCCACTGGAGAAAATCTTCCAACCCATATTGACTGAATACTTGTCGGGCACCTCGGAGAATGGCTGTCAAGTGGACACGATCTACACTTATTTCTCGAAGGCGCTTGACAATGACATGCAATTTTGCTACATTAGCTTGAAGTACTAAGTTGATGCCCCTCTTCTATTCTAGTTTCAAAGCTATCTGTCTGGAAGGAGACATGTAGTCAGAATTGAAAAACGGCTTCCAGAGCGCCATAATAATTATTGGGGGCCACTCTTATTTAATGTCTCAATAAATGACATTGAACGAGTTTGGCAATTCCAGTATAATCTAAATAACTTGATCGATGGGTGCCAGAGAAATGGTACCTATATAGTTGAACCCAGTCAAGTGCAAATCTATATTCTATTTTATCGTGGCGGAAATACAATAAACCAGTGAAATAAAAGATCTGGGGGTCACCCTCGATTCTTCCTTGAGAATTTTACTTAGCATTTATTCTCTGTAGTCAATAAGGGCTCCCAGATGCTTGGTTTTATCAAGCGATGTAGAGCAAACTTCGCTAGTGTTGCTCACTGATTTCAAAAATAAATGGATAAACAAAGAACGCTTCTAATGCTGCTAATTTACGAGGTCATAATCTAAACAAAAACAACTGACTCGGACAGCTGTGAGCGTGCGCAGTAGATACATGTACTGTGCGTTCGCAAAATATAGCCAAGGAAAATGAAGGATACTTCAAAATTTACAACAGTTGTTCGAAAGATAAGACACTGCGTAGGCGTTAGGCTGTTTCGTTGCACAACTGTTCG